GAAACAAGAGGCAACCGCAAAGCTCAAAGTAACTCGCGAGTTCCTCCAAGGATGATTATGAAATGAACATTTCGTAGTTGCCGCGCGGCTTCGGTGCCCTCGCCAAAAGAATAATGTTTACAGCTGGTGTACCGCGCGGGCTGCACAACCTCCTCACCTCACACAGCCACGGGGCGGACAAGCACAGCGAGAGGCACGTTTAATTTATGGCCCGAACGCCTCACGCGCAGACTTCTCTGTGCTGACTCGGCAGCGAGGCGCGCGTTGTAATGCATACTCTACACTTTTCGCGATTGTCGCAAATTGTTTTCTGAGCGAGAATACATTTTGTTTGTGCCTATTCCTATTCAAAGTTTCGCGCGGATAATGGGATGTACATATGTAGAGCACGGGTGCGGCATGAATTCGAAAACTTCACTCTTGCTGGCACGCGCAGAAACATGCAGAATTCTCTAGTTAACTCGCTGCCTGTCATGCCGAGACCTCCAGGTGGTTCCAGCCGGTCCCAGGACCGGCGAGTCGGTTGCATTACCCCTCTCCCTGTACTGCATAGGAGAAAAGCAGTTGATTCTCTGCCGAAATAAGTGTTGATGTTACACCTCTAAACGAACGGATATAAAAAATATTTTCGGTCGTGAGTTGAAAACGGTTGATAAACTAAAATAGAGAAGACAGCCCGTGCTTCGATGTAAGTGTGATTTAATTAAATTGATAAAGTCAACACTTAACGCCCCCCCCCCTCTCTTTTCCACTTACCAAATCTAGCCCTCTCCCTATCTCTCTAAGATTTACTCAAGTTTGCAGAGCGGAAGCACGAGCCGCCTGCTTTACCCCAGAATAATAAAAACACAGTGCCTCTGCCTCCACTACCGCCAGCCCTTCTCTCCCGAAATCTCGCCGTCCCTGTCTTATTATGACGTCATATCCCCCCCCCCCCCCCCCACTTCACGCATGGCTGGAGGTCCTCGTGCAGAGATAGCGATCGACGAAAGCCCGGGGGTCCGAAGCTCTACCCAGCCCGGCCTCCGGACCAGCCAGCATTGTGTTCTGTTGTGTGGCGCCGCGTTGTCTCTCTGGGGCGGGACCCTCTATCGGCACGTACGCCCGACTTAGGCCCCACCGCATACCTGGCCGCAAATATAGAGAGAGGCGGAGAGAGAGAGGAGAGAAAGAGGAGAGAGAGAGAGAGAGAGAGAGAGAGAGAGAGAGAGAGAGAGAGAGAGAGAGAGCGCGCATGGGGGAATCCACGGTGGGCGCTCTCAAAAGCAAAAGGAATACCCCACACCTGCAAAGAAAATTCTCCGCGTACATGTTACACGAAAAGAGGCTTCGGCTCACTGGTGAAACAAAGGCGCTATTACAGTTTGCCGCCTTGGGGAAGGCGCTAAGGTTTAACGCCTCACCAAAGGCGCTAAATTATTTAGGGTGTTCACACGGGAAGGGGGGGGGGGGGAATTCCCAGGAGTTTTCTGCATTTCCCAGGGGGAATTGGAAAACCCCCTTGTACGCCGAATTTGAAGAAAGCAAGTAACAAATAAACAGCCATAACCAAATGACAGCTAAATATGAGACAAAATTAGGACACAGACCTACCCTTAAATTTGTATCATCTGCTTTCAAGATCGATTCTTGATTTTTTTTATGTTTAATCCGTATTTTAGTTTATATTGTCCGGATTTGACAACACGATGTCCCAAATCATGTTAATTACTTGTAGACAAATGTGTTTTGATAGCCATAATTAACAACTTCCTGTCTAATAAATATTGGTTCACTTCTACGTGGCACACCAAAGTCAAAACATTTTCCGTCGTAAAATAATAACTCACATAGTTTTGAAGATCATGATGGCTGTGGTGGTTTGCGTTTGCAGTCATTGTATAATAACATTTTGGTAACGAGGCATCAAAAATTTAAGGTAAAGGTTGAAAATTTACCAACTTGCCTGCTGGGGTGGAGAATGGACCGAGGGGGAACCAACTTGGAAATTTGGTGAACTGTGAATATATTCAAATATTCAATGTCACTGAATACCAGTGAATATCACTGAATACCAGTGAATATCACTGAATACCAGTGAATATTTGCTGTGATTGTTGATTAATATCCTTGAATATTGATGAATATCGATGAATATCGATGAATATCGATGAATATCGATGAATATTTTGAATATCTTGTGAATATTCGCAAATATCACCTGAATACCTATTAGATATATACCAGCGGGTGCACCGTGAAGAGTCGAAGTTGATGCCCCCTCGGAATGGACTACTACTGCTAGTCCAAGCCAAGAGGTTAAGTGCCTTAGCTATTTGACAATAAAGTATGAAATCCACGTACTGACACGCTTTGACTTTCACGTTCTTCTCTTTTTCACTCCGCGGTCCACAGGAATACCCAATTAAAGCTGTTTTCGCATGAATGTGTAAAAAATACCGTAGGCAGTTACGGTTTGCCTACCGTCCGTACCGTATTTTCAGCGCACGGTCAGGCCGTAACAGCAACTGTACTTTCTGGTTTTGGCTAAGAGCTGTATTCAACTTCCTCAACATTTTTTTCAAGTTATGGTCTGTTCTGTATGACACGGACCGTTACCAAAAATTACGGTGCCGGACCAGGCAACAAATTTACAGCGCAGACCGTAGGTAGGCCTTCACCGTGAGGTTTCCTAACAGTGTGGTTGAAACTGCCGGCAGGGCTTACCAGCACGGCCTGGCCGCACGGCACCGCCTACCCAGCACCGCCTTCCGCTCATTGTGGGGGCACCTTCAGTGTCTTGCAGGCTGCCACGGCCTCTAACCTCAAAAACGAGTCGTTGCAATGCAGAGCAGCCAACAGCAGGTTGACCGTCGCCATCTCACAGAATTTGTCGTCTGTTGAGACGATATAAACTTCCTACAGGGTAGCCGCGTGCACAGCAAGCATGGTGTTTATGAAGGACTCCGAGTTCGCATCGAGTCTTGGACACCGGAGCGTTGTGAGAGAGGGCCCGCGCGGCCATTCCTTGTACAACGGGATGAGTGACGTCGGGTGGGTCGTAAATGAATTATTCGATCAACTCGAGGCCGGAACACAATGCGATCGTCCTCACGAGCACGTCGGCTTTAGTCTTAGATTCTGCGTAGCTGAAAGAGCTTAGTCGGCTGAGGCACCCGAGCAATTCCTGCTTGTACACTATGAAGACGTACTCCGCGGGGTTATTTAAACATCCATCCTCCCCGCAGTACTAATTTTGCCACGGCGCATCTGCACATGCAAAACGAAACCGAGAAGATGAATGGTTATTTTGCTGTTATTCGCACGACATACTAACATTTAAATAACAACATATATAAAACACGCTTGTCATGAAGTTGTTGTGAAACGGGCCACTTTAACAGGAGAAAAACGACAAAATTACCGTCGTTTCACGACAAGCGCGTTATGCTTGCATTACTAGCTATACGTGCGCCAGACCACCACGTCTCGCGTAACAGGCCTTGCGATATCTCACGAAACACTGTTACGCTACGACGCGCACATACAGCTAGGCCTGCGGCGCTGATACCCGAGACTAGTTAATAGGAGTGTTTACGGAAATAGGGCCTCCCGGCCCCCATAAATTCTACATTTTCACAGCATTTGTCGGGGACTTCTGACTCCAAAATTAGGTACATGAAACTTCTGATACTATAGTGTCCTTTGAGCTGAAAGGAGGGTGTTACCCCTAATGTGTGGTTTAAGTGTAACTCCCTTTACGATTCTTTGATATGAAATGCCTCCTAGCACCAAAGCGGTACAAGATAGAGCAAAACGGACGAAATTTTCGCTCCAAGAGCTCTACATTGACGAGCTACCCCTTAGGAGCCCATATTTAATATTTGATGATAAAAAATATACATTTTACGACCTGTGGTTTTTGATTTTTTTTAAAGTCAATTTTTGAGCTAGAATGATCATCTTCGTACTCGATCTGTCTTTTTATGATACAAAACGACCCTGAAATTCCTAGATCGCCAGCTCAAGTCCTTCTCGAGTTACCGTGCGGACAAACAGACAGACCGACAAACAGAATGAAACTTTTCCGGTCAGTGGAGTAATAGGCTTCGCTAATCGCTCAGCCAACTAAACAGTAGTGCGAATTTGTCCTCTAGGACCCCCCCCCCCACACACACACACACTTCCTCGACTCTTCTATCTCTTATCACCAACGTGTGTGTACACATGCCAGATTTTTTCTAGGGGGAGGGGCGTCCGTCCTGCATAAATTGACCCGCCTCCTGCTGGGTAGGCCGCATAATCGCCATGTAGCCTACGCTTCGCTGTGGTGCGCGCGGGCCGGCCTACCTTGCAGGCGACTGCCGCACGAGCTTCCAAATAATGCGTGCCAGTATCGCCCATGACTCCAATTACACGATAATTGATTAATATTACGGGCCACCAACACTGCACGCACTGGGCCCTCTCGTTCTCTCTCTCTCTCTCCCTTCGGCACCCACTCCTCCCCGCGCTCTCTCCGCGCACGCACGCGACGCGGCCTGCGTAGAGTCCTCTATATAAAGGGGCCAGAGCCGCCGCCAGCGATCGCTAGTCGTAGAGGCAGCGCTGGGCAGTGACAGACCGCCCAGACGAGCGTGCGAGCGAACCCTCCCATACGTGAAGCATACAGCGTAACAACATGTCCACGGCAGGGAAGGTGAGAGTGAGGTTGTGGGTGGCGTGGGCGGCAGGAAACGACAGAGATGTGTCGCTAGATATCCACGTTATGCGTTGTTGTGTGCCATATTTCAATGCTCAAGTTTGCATTCGCCGATGGCACACAGTACAGAGTCTGTCATACCCAACGAAAACACTTTCTTCCATTTATGTAATAAGTTGGGAACAGGTGCCTGGAGCGGCTCACCGCGAGCAAAACAAAAAACCTCGGATCGATCGCCGACCGATCGCTTGACCGATCAGAGCTTGCATTTCGGACACATTTTTTTAACTGAATCTGTACATCCTATTATTTTATTTCTAGGCAATCACGTGCCGCGCTGCGGTATGCTGGGAGCCGAACCAGCCGCTGTCCGTCGAGGAGGTCGTGGTGGAGCCGCCGGAGGAGGGAGAGGTGAGTCGGGCGGTTCATGGGCGCGGGCTCGCGAGCTGCACGGCGACGACCTCGTCGTTTGTGGCCTAGTAGTAATGTGAACGTGGTGGCAACAGCACGGCCGCGGCGAAATCACCACCGGCGCTGTACCTTCTGCCGGGGAAGGCTATCTGTCAGTTTGTTCTATCCCTTACACTGTTAAATTCCTACAAAGCATTTGCTTTGCAGAGCTGCGAAGTATTTTGCTCCTTTGTAACTACGAAGCATTTACTTTGCAATTACAAAGTGATGCTTTGTAATTGCAAAGCAATGAAAACGCTGCAAAGCATCGCTTTGCAATTGCAAAGTGTCACTTCGTAATTGCAAAGCATCACGTTGTAATTGCGAAGTAAATGCTTCGTAGTTACAAAGGAGCAAAATACTTCGCAGGCTTTTAACAGTGTATCCCAGCCGCCAGATGACAGATAACTCACAATATAGAACACCCTCTGTTTACACCTACCTTTAATTAATATATTTCCCTGGATGCAAACACATCACTGGTGAAAAGTGAATAGGGCGTAAGCCAACGGACTTTGCATTGGACTTACGCCCTTTCCACTTTTCACCCGTAACGTGTGTGTCCCCGCGACCTTCTCCAACGTTTCAGGTTCGCGTGAAACTTTTGTCCGCGTCCATCTGCCGTACGGACTTCTGCTGCCTGAAGGGCTTCACCATCAAGAAATTCTACGCCGGCGGCTGGCCCGTCATCCCCGGCCACGAAGGCGTGGGCGTCGTCGAGAGCGTGGGGCCCAAAGTGACATCCGTTCAGCAAGGTACCAAAAACAGACTACCGGGATCAAAAGCAACCGAGCAGTAACTTGACGTGACGAATAATTAAAGCCAGTTTTATGACATACTGAAAAACAGTCAAAAATGTTATGTTAAATTTATGGATGCCTACAAGTTTAAATGTCTACATTGCGTTAAAGAGCACTATAGTGCTAATATATTATTATCTCTTCATTTGTATGGGCCATTGCAAAAAAAATAGACGCGTTGTTGACTAAACTGATTGGCACTTCAGCGCCAAGGAAGCGCGTCTACGCGAAACAAAACAATAAATACAAATGCTTCTTTTAGGTGACCATGTGATTCCATCTTTCGGTGCGCAATGCAACAAGTGTTCACTCTGCCAGTCGAGCCGGACCAACATGTGCCTGCTGTCAAACGTACGGGACGCCCGACTCGGGACATGGTCACGGTATTCACAGCTCTGGCGCTGTACCGGGTGTAACTGTGAATGCGCAGCAGTGTTGCAGGATTGCAAACTCAATGGCCCCTTAAGGGTGTAAAGAATAGGCAAACCCGCAACACTGCTGCGCATTCGAAGTTACACCTGGTACACCCGGTACTACTGATTCATGCCTGTCGGCTCCGCCACGCCCCCAGGACCGCGCCGTGCTCCCCGCTGGGGTGACCCGCGTCAAAGCCAAAGGTCAGATGCTGTACCAGCTGGCGAGCCTAGGGACCTTCGCCGAGTACAGCGTCATGGCGGAGACGTCGCTCGCCAGGGTGAACAAGTCCGTGCCCACGGCCCCGCTGTCCGTGATGGGCTGCTGCGTGCCCACCGGCATGGGCACCGCGCTCAACGAGGCCAAAGTGACGCCGGGCTCCGTGTGCGCCGTGTGGGGGCTCGGCGGCGTGGGGCTGTCCATCGTCCTGGGCTGCAAGATGGCCGGGGCGTCCACCATCGTCGGCGTCGAAATCCACCCCGAGAAGGAGGCCAACGGTAAGGTGGTGAACGCGGTGTGAGCTTTACTGCAGTGGGGCCCGGTTGGAGCAGCCGATAAAGACTATGGGACTGCCCGTGCCGTGCAGCTCGCAAGTTCGGCTGCACCGACTTCATCGACTCCAAGAGCCTCGACAAGCCCGTGAGCGAGTACCTGGCCGAGAGGTTCGGCGGAGGCTGCGACTTTACCTTCGAGAGCACCGGCAGCACGAAGGCTATGGTATGTTGCGCGTGAGCAGGAACTCGAACTCGATTTGAACAATCGAAACACAAACAATGCTACACTCGCACGCATATTGTCCATGGACGCAGGCCGAGGCGTTCGAGTCCGTACGCGACGGCGGCGGGCACTGCGTGGTGGTCGGCGGCGTACCAGAGGGGCAAAACCTCTCAATCTACCCCGGTCACCTGCTGAACGGCCGGGCCCTCACCGGCTGCCTGTTTGGAGGATACAGATTCCGCAACGACCTGCCATCTCTGGTTAGCATCTTTGCAGGCGGACCGCACAAGGGTGTTGTGAGCGAGTGAAAAACAGAACCGGCGTCCTATTTCTTCTTCCAGGTCGAAATGATCGCGGAGGGCAAGATTCCCGTCGACGACTACATCACAGGCTCCTTCAAGTTGGCTGAAATCAACAAAGCGATGGATACCATGAGAAGTGCAAATGGGTATGCCGCCTTTTTAAACTATTCCTGAAATAGTAATTTTTGTATGAATAAATAATAAAATTGCGCGATTGGTTTTGCAGCATACGGATCACCATCACGTTTGACTAGTCATTTGTTGCAGAGCGATCGGGACTGGAAGTCAGAAAATCCGGTAATGATGACCCTTCAGGGAGTCTGGTCCTGGCCAAGCTCAAGTGTGATTGAATGAATTAAAGAATTTACACAGGGTTCCAGTGGAAAGTTCAAAGATTGCACATATCGATGAAAAAACAGCAAATAATAGCATAGAGAAAAATTAACAGTGCGAGTTTTGTTTTTGAAGGTAATGGTTGTATAACTTTACTTTACTTCAAAGGCATTGACAGTACGACAAGTGCGTATTTGGAGAGGTAGAGCATTCCATAATTGCGGGCCAATGACAGGAAAAGCACCGTTCATTCTGTTGGTGTCAAGCGATTTAACTCTGATTTTAGCGCCCCAGGAAAGGCGTTGTGTAGCGCCTTTTTCTCAACAGTGCAAAATCCATGTTCGAGCAGCAAAATAAAAGGTTTTCCCTCTCCTGGTGCTCGGAAGGATTTTCTCTTCAGCGACGATACACGTAACCCTCGAGATTATCAGTCTCCTTTCCCTCCATGTTTTTCTTTTCGTTCTCTTTTTTTACGGATCTTCAGTAATACGGCACTTGGCTTAGCGCTGCACGGCACGGCACGGCGCAGCCAGAGAGGGACCAGTCCCAATTTGTATCCGCGTGATGAACCCGGTGGGCGGCGGACGCGGCGGTGGGGTGGCTCGAGAGAGCTCCCCGGGCAGCCGGTCGGGACCGGATGTAGTAGTAGCAGGGGAGGGAGAAGGGGGGCCTGCGGCCGTCCAAAAGAAAACGGAGCAAAATAAAAGCGACTTGGTAATATTCGGCTCCGCATTCTAGCACGACACGACGCGAGACCGTGACACGCAGCAGCAAATCCTCATTGTCGGCCGTGTTTACACGGTCGGTGCTCACCCCCCCCGGCCTCCACACGGCACTGCTTGTTCCCTCTTGGGGTCACGTTATATACGGACGAACCCTTTTCGCAGAACATTGCTCGGGAGGCTCTCCCTCTGGCCCGGCTGGTACGACAGCTCGGCGAGCGCGCGGCCTCCGGGCGGCACGAAGGTCACCCTCTGTTTCGACACGCTGATAGATTGCCCGGAGACTCACGACCAGCAAGCGGTCAGGGCAAACCGGACTCGGTAGGGGCGAGCCGGCCGCCGCCTCAAAGGGCATTTCTAATCGGGCCGCACAGACCTCCGCCAAGTACTCTTCCGCGCGTTCTATGTACTACTCCCACTTGTCCGCGAACGAGGACGCCGCGCTCTGTTAAAAAATTTAAGTACACCCGTGCGACCGCGGGGGCTGCGCGCGCGCGCCTGGGGCCACATTTGGACTCACGCGTGACGGCTTTCATTCGGGCCGCCGCGAGCAGCGCGCTGAATTTGTCATACGGCCGCGCTGCGCGATGATATATTCCATCCTCCCGCCCCGCCCCGCCCCGCCCCGCCCCGCCCCACCCCCCTGGCGGCCTCCTCCGCACCCTCTTTTTCCTCTTCCTGGCCGACTGAAAAGATGTGGGGCAGGGTGCTGCACACAAGATCCCCGGCGACCCCTGCCGCCGCCGCACCACCGCGCTGCGTTCCAACTTCGCTCGCGCCGGGAGAGCCCCTCCAGAGAGAGGCCACGACTTTCTTTTGCGCCTCTCTCTCTCTCTCTCTCTCTCTCTCTCTCTCTCTCTCTCTCTCTCTCTCTCTCTCGTCATGGTACGCCCCTTCCGGACCTTGTATTGCAGACGTGCAGCGTGGCCGCCCCTATC